ACCAAAAGCAATGTGTCTAAAACCTCTACCAACTCAGATTAGGCTTGTACAAACACATAGAGACTTGTCTCCTCACTTTTCTTCAAAAGCAAGTTATAGAGCCAAAAGGCTATAACTCAGAAACCTGGTGTGGAATTGATCTTGAACCTTTTCTATACATATACCCAAATTTATTGCAACATAGGGCACGAATGCTAAGACTCAGAAACACTCCCAAACACTTTGCCATTGAAAATCTGCCATAGCTTGACATTTTTGCACCTTACACAACCATCTCAAAAACCACTCGTGCGTTTTGAGTTTTAACCACCTAAACACTTAATATACATCATATTTAAGTGTTCCAGACCCTTGTTCCCTCACTGTAACTCCTCCTCCTCCATCCACCATTTTCAAATATCAACTTTGCAGGTTGACTTGAGTAGGAAGATTCAGGGGCTTTCAAGACCAAGTAAGGATTGGAATACACTCAGGGAGGTCCAGGCAAGCTAAACAGATCCTCAGGCCTTCTCAAAACTTGCTCAAACTCCATTCACGATCTCAACTGAAAGAGGTAAAAACTCAAACTTCTATCTCTTCATACAAGCATCCTTTGGTCCTGATTTCTGAAAACAAAATGTAGACATCCTTGCACTAAAGCTAACCATGTTCATAATTTTCATTTATATTAACTGTGTATAGAGAATTTTGGATTTGAAATTTCTGTAAAAATTAGGTTTCAAATTAGGGCAAGTAAAATTATCTTTGATCTTTGACTTTTAGTTTACATAAATTATATGGTTGAAACCGTGGGAAGAAACACTATAACTTTCATGTTTGGACTTTCCATTTTTATGGAGAAATGAGAGAGATACAGGTGGTCCGGCCATGGCTCAAGGTTGAAGATGAAGTTGCCTTCAGGAGGCGTTTTCTAATATATATTTGTGCTTTTGTTTATATAAACGGATGTACAGCCACCCCAGTGGTAAGGCAGCGCGCAAAAATGCTAGAGGTTATGGGTTCGAGCCTCAGCACGCTGCCTTTTGTAATTTTTCATATTTTTCCATTTTTTTGTTGTTTTGCAGCGTGGGCCTTTACTTCATGGGCTTTTGATTTTTTGCTAGCATTCTGCCTCCTGTTTGCTTGCAGCACCTGTGACCCATATAATTTTATTTATTTATTTTATTTTCATTTCATTTGTTTAAATATATTTTTCTTAATATTAAAAATCATAAAAAATATAAAAATGATAAATTTATATTTTGGTTTATTTTATTTTATTTTTCTCATATAAAATATTTTTATTTAGTTATATATTATCTATTTTACTAAATAAACTTGTAAATTAAATTAACTAGATTAAATATTTATTTTTTCTTCACACCCATTAAACATATTATTTTAACATAAAAAAGACCAAAAATATCTCATAATGCCATATATTATTTTCAAGACAAAAAATACAAAAATACTTATTTTTTCTTAAAGAAATTTATTTTCTTTTAATCAAATATAATTAGGGTTTGTTCAAAAATATTTTCTAAAAATAATTTCTTTTCTTAATTGATTCAAGTTAATATTGATTTATTTATTAGGTTTAGGTTAAAACTTTTTCATATAAAAAATCAATCAAAATCTTCTTTGCATTTACACATCTTTGCATATTTAATTTATCTTATATATTATTTTATTCCAATATTTGTACATATTCAATATGGTTGTAATAGATTAATTAGGTTTATATTATTGCAATCCCCATTCATAAATTGTATACCCCTCTCCCACAAGTATTGTAATAGCGTAGTAACTTTAAATTTCGCAATTTATCGCTTTTACATAACATGCTAGTAATTAGGGTTTGTATGGCAAGATAAAACCAAACAAATAGGAAACCCTAATCCAAGACAAAAACAAGCATGAAAATGACACACTTGTACACAAGCACCCCTAGGGTTACTCCACTTGGTTGCCTTATACAAAATGGCCATATTACGCATGTAAGATATCTTAGCAAAAACAAACAAATACAAGATCATAGTCCCTCGATGACGCTATTCAAAGTTGCCTTACAAAAATTATCTTAGTCCCTCAAAAATGCTAAGATACTTTGCAACATTGCTAATCATGGCTATACGATGACCCACGCCCGTCCCGTTTACATCCAAAGATAAGGTTGTTTACCAAATCAATGGTAAGACAACAATATCAAGGGAAAATAAAATGAACAAGAAAGACATTTGAGTAGATAGATTGCTTTTAGTTACTTGCTCCATTTCAAAACAAATATTCTTGCTATTTTCAAAACAAACACCTACACATTTCAAAACATCTTACAACATTGAAAACATTTTCAAAAGATCAATATCTTTGTATACATTCTTACGAACGAGAATCATTACAAAAATTTCCTAAACGATGGCCTCTTTACAAAATACTTTCAAAAACCACACATAGCACAATTTCAAACAAAAACAAGTGCTCTAGCAAGTAACTAAGAGCCCATGGAAAACCATGGATGAAAAGGGTGCTAATACCTTCCCTTTTCATAATCTACCCCTCCGAACTCAAGAAACAATCTCAAAGGTCTTTCCTGTGCTTTTTCACCTTTCCTTTTGGATAAAAGAAAAGTCGGTGGCGACTCTTGCTAACCACAACATTTACGATAGAACGCAAAACCCTCAAGTCAGTTTTCCCACCGTATCACATACACATTTCACAAGTTCCTGTCTGGTAGTCAGTTTTCGTCTGACACCTTATCTTTAACCCCAGTTCCTATCTGGTAGCCTATCTTGACATCCATAGTTTAAATAATATGGGCATTTGCATTTATCAATCATCACATCATTTCAATTCACAACATTATCATATCAAGCATACATATCATGCATCTTGAATGCATCATGCATAATCATATGGAACATGCATACATGTATTACATTCAATCATATATATACCCATGTAAACTGCGGAAAATCTCAAGGCATGCTTACCAGCTAAGACGCACTCAATTTCAAATCTAAGCTCAGCACTATCCATTCTTCGTGCTATCACCATAGACACCTCGGTTGAGAACAGACATAACCATCAAAAGTACCGCTATCAAAAATTCACTAGGAAACTTACCTACGACTCATATCCAAGGCTTTGTCATTAAATGCCTTCAGGCATTATACTTTCTATTATCAAATTCAAACTTTTTCAAACCTATCAAACATTCAACTTCATTTGGTTATTATGTTATCAAGCCTTGGTCGAAAAAAGACACAACCGACATCATCATCGAAATTTTGATTTCAATATTCAAACCTAGCATTCTTCATGCTAATCAAGTCTTGGTGGAGAACAGACACAACCGACGTCGTTATTCCGAGTTCCAAATATCCAGTTTCTAACTCTTCATTATTTATCCTCTAGGTTGTGATAAATATGCAAAATATACGATATAACTTGTTGCATCAATCTCAAAGCAACAATAAGTTATCTATTTTTCAAAACCCGCGTCGTTTATCCCATAGGTTGTGATAAATATCGTAAAACTACAACTTATTATGTTAGCCTCAAAGTGTTAGTAAGATATTTTCAAACATGTATTATCTACTCCCTAGGTTGTGGTAGATGTACAAATTCTACGATATAATCAATTTTGTTAGTCTCGAAGCGACAATGAGTTATCAAACTTGTGTTATTTACTCCCTAGGTTGTGGTAAATATGTGAAACTTGCGATATAACTTGTTGCATTAGTCTCAAAGCAGCAATAAGTAATTTATTTTCAAACTCTAATATTTATCCCCTAAATTGTGATAAATATACAAAATATGCGTCAACTTACTATGTTAGCCTCGAAGCGTTAGTAAGATATTTTCAACTCGTATTATCTACCTCATAGATTGCGGTAGATGTTCAAAATATGTGATATAACTTGTTGCGTTGGTCTCGAAGCAACAATAAGTTATTTGTTTTTAAGCTCACGTTTTTTACCTCCTAGGTTATGGTAAATATACGAAATCTTCAATTACTTATTCTAGGTATTGACGAGTTATCTGCGTCGTCATATCTAAGTTCAGGCTCTAGCCATTGCCAAGTTCACTGTGTCATCCTTGTCTGTTTACTTTTTGGTTTACTATATAGTTCAATTTTCAAAAGTTTTGAGTCGAAATTTGGGGTCTTCCATTATTTAATAATCCTCTTATCTGAGCGTGCGAAAACTTCATATACTTGTATGCTTCAATCGAAGAGTAATTAAATTGGGGCAACTGTCAATACTCCAAATTTACCTGGCTTGGTGCTACGGTCGAAATTATTTTCAAACTTGGATTTTATAAAATTCTTTTGGTTTATTTACATTAACATTTTGGGATTTTATAAATATTCGTTTGTTTATTTAAAATATACATAATAGTTTATTTTAAATTATTTATGTTTCTTAAATAGCAAATATTTGCTCATCTTTCATATACTTGCAAGCATATGGTCATAAGTTCAAATCTCACTTGATGTACTTTGAAATATATTTTTTTGTTTATTTGTTATTAATTTTATTTCCATTTTTAATTATTTTCAAAATCACAAAATTGCATTTTTTTTATTGTTTTAATTTCAATTTTCGTTTTTATTTTAAGACATTTTTAAAATTAATTATTTATTTATTTTTATGCATTTTTTATCAAACAAGAGTGCAAAAATCATAATAAATATAAAAAAATATTCCCTTTCTTGATTAACTATTTCGCATGGATCAATTTGTATCAATTTGTGTCATAACTCACTTCAGATTAATAACTTGATGACCAAGATAGAGTCTATATAATTTATATTTTTTATATAAATAATTTTCTTTTTAATATTTTAAACCTAATTTATAATTCTATAGCTAAGACTCTCTTCACCGAATTTGAATTTATCATGAACAATCATTCAGAAATCCCCCCATTCACGTACAAATTCCTCACCTCAAACCACAAAACCCTTTTTTTCTTTACTGTACAAAACTCACCCACAGAGACAAACAAATTTTCCACTCATGATTTTCATAAACCTGGCACATACACATACACAAAAGCCTTGTTCACCGTACAACTTTTACAACCCAATTTCGTCACCTGTATCAACTTTTGTACATAGCTTCCAAAACTCAATTCACATATTTCACCTTTTTTACGTGTACCATTTTGCAGCAAACTTCGTCTCTAAACTTGCACCAATTTTTATCCATTACCTCACACAAGTATCATCATCACCTTCAACTTTGTTTCAATACAAAACCATCCCCAACATCCAAAACCATAAAACTCATAAACCAATTCACAGACCTATTAAGGAAATATTCCAACAACAGCCTTCACTATCACAACCAAACATCAACCAATGTTTAATTAATCAGACAAAATCAATCAACAAACACTAAATAACCTGCAACAATCAAAACAAAAGGAGCAAAGGGATTCAAGGAAATTGGATTCAAAGTATCAGAGTTTTTGACATTGACAAATTGCTTTCCTCCATTCATACCTCCATGTGATGCCTTCAGTCCTGCAGTCGCGCAACAATCATCCCAGGTTTATCTCACTGTTTTTTATGATTGCTTCATATTTGTTTCTTTGAAATAATTGAAAGAATGAGATTTTTAGAAAAAAAGAAAAAGGGGAAATCTGACCTTTGAAAGAGAAAGAGGAAACGTGTGTGGCTGGAAACGAAAGCCAATTAGAATTTATTATCTTTTGTTTTTTATTTTAGTTTTTTTAATTGAAGAAGAGGGACACGTGTTGGTCTTTTAGTAGGCCAGATTTTGAAAATAGTGATGTGTTGATTTTTTGACCGAGTAATAGAGGAGGGAGGGTCTCTACCTGTGGATTTAATTCCTTTGTTATTAATTCTTTTTATTTTTGAGTTTAATTGCTATGTATTTTTAACGTAAATATTTTTACATTGTCAATATATTATAATTACTCAATTTTATTATTTAAAAAAAATTAAAATTAAAATTAAATATTTTAAATAATTTTATAATATTTTAATTAAATATTTTATTTATTTATTTTTTTGCTTATTCTACATTTTTATTATTATTACTATCATCATTATGTTTAGGGCTAATTGATTAGATTTTGGCGGGCTTTAGACCCTTTTAATTTCATCATTTTTTTTCAAGTCCTTTATAAATCTACACTCCCTTTTAACCTTTTTATTTTTTGAAATGTTTCTATTATTATTATTAGAAATATCAAAAATAATATAAACTCCAAAAAAATATAGCTACGATTAAGTTAAGTTAGTTATTAATTTGTACATATTTCGTTAGGATTTTCTTTGATTAACTTAGCATGACCTCGTAATTATACATAAATAATTCTCAAATCGTGTACATTCATCGAATACTTGTTTTTTTATTAAATTAATTCAATTTTTTTTATAAATTAAAGGATTTCACATCTTCGATTAATTAGTTAGTCAGTTTAATATTTATTAATTAATTATTCAAATCAAATAATTAAAATTCACTAACACATAAAATTAATTTCACATCCTTTTATTTTTGTGCCGATTACAATACCTAGCAGATCGCCCGTAGGTCTCGCTTCTTTAAGATTTTAGATCGCCCGTTGATCTAACTTTTCTTGTAGATCGTCCGTAGGTCTCACCTTAGGATTATAGGTCACCCGTAGATCTAGCCTTCCTTATAGGTCGTTCGTAGGTCTAAATCCCCCTAGCAGATCCCCCGTAGGTCTCACTTTAGGGTTTTAGATCACCCGTAGATCTAGATTCCAGTCTGCATATCGTCCGTAGGTCTCGTTCTTTTAGGATTTTAGATCGCTCGTAGATCTAGCCTTCCATGTAAGTCATATGTAGGCCTAACTCTCTTAGTAGATTGCCTATAGGTCTCACTTATTTAGGATTGTAGGTCGTCCGTAGATCTTGCTATCTTGTAGATCGTCCGTAGGTCGCCCGTAGATCTAGTTTTCCTTGTATGTCGTCTGTAGGCCTCGTTTCCCAAGCAGATCGCCTGTATGTCTCATCTCCTTAGGATCACAGGTCGTCCTTAGACCTTATTCGTTGTGTCTTCATACCCACTCTTTCAATCAATGTTTCGTATAACAATTATCCCTTTTACGAACCTCGTATTGGCTCCGTTACCACGTTACGAGCAATCACTACTCAAAATTCATTTGTAAGCCTTCTAGCCAGAAAAATTCTTTCCCCAGCAGATATCACAAAAAATAACCATCCTTTCAGAATAAATTTTCGGCATTGATATTAATCATCTTTTACCTCGAGCGTTTGAAAGGCTCGCGCCAATCTCACTTTCAGGTTTAAGACGATTAAACAGAGGTAGTTGTCATACACCAAATTTGTCCTACCCCTTTATAAGGATCATCTGGTTTATGCATCTCGCACCGTTCATGTACATACTCCTCAATAGGTAATTTAGCATTGCATGCATCATTAATCTTTAAATGGTCATGGGATCAAGGTATTTCTTTTCGGAAGCTTCACATAAAAAGATTATTCTGTCGGGCAACATAATAAGGCAAAACTCTGGTTTTTCAAGGTCTAAATGTGTTATGCACGTTTCACAAGCTATCAAATCAACAATTAATCAAGCCATAATCGTGTCAAGCTCTCGTGTACGTTAAAACACTCTGAATTATAGAGAAATCAGGTGTTTCGATGAACTTGAGACGGTGCGAACCAGAAACAACGTTTTTGCTGGTTTGAGCTTAGAAATCCGCAACATGCAATCGATATACTATTTTGAAATGGTTCCTCAAGCATTGGAACCGTCTCGATATTTTCTTCATTTCATTTGTTCAGACTAGAAGCCAATTTCGTGAAGAAAGTCTCCAAAGGATTTGATTTTCCTGAAATGGCATTTGAATTTAATGACTGGTTATCTGTTTCTCGGGTGTTAGGAAATTTGTAAATTTCAACCGATTCAGTACTTTCGGTTGATTCTTTGAACAATGAGACCGTCTTGATTTTCTTATCATTTCTAGTGTTCGGATCGAAGGCTAATTTTGTGAAGAAGATCTTCGATAATTTTAATTTTTTGAAGATAGTACACTGAATTTAATTGTTGGTCCGCCATTCGCGGGTAATAAAAAATTCATAACTTCTGATTGGAATATTTTTTCGTAGTGGTTCTTGATGCGTTAAAACCGTCTTAATATCGTCTTAAGTTTGTATGTTCGGCTCGGAAGTCGATTCAGTGAGGAAGATCTCCGAACGTGCAAGTATTCTGAAGATGTACAGTGGAAAACAGTGTGTTGGACCGTTATTTTCCAGACGTTCAAAAATTCATAACTTTCACCCGATTCGACAATTTTGAGCGGTTCTATGGGAAAAAAATTTGTCTTAATGTCATATTCGTTTCGTATGTTCGGGTCGAGGACTGATTCTTTGAGGAAGACCCCTAGAAATACGAATTACTAGATAAATTTTTGTACTGAACCAGATTTTTATTCCAATGTTTCTCGATATTGTAAAAATCATAATTTCTTTGATTTTTATCGTATCGATGCAATTATTTTGGCATAATTTCACAAGTGATGTTGGCTACAAGTTTGCTTCAGAGCTCGAGTTCAAATTCAGCTCCAAAGACTTCGGTTGATGGCTTGCTTCTCAAACCGAACAGTGAAAAATTCGGTTACTGAAAAAGACAGTGTCAATGTCAAATATTTTCGCCACTCAAAAATTCATAACTTGCTCGATTTTTATCGTATCACATCCATTCTTTCGGCATGACATCACAAATTTCGTCATCTACGATTTAGATGTTGGTCTCGTGTCGAGATTTCACACCGATTATTATCGAGTTTGTTAATTGTTCGTGCTATTGCGTTTGCTGATATTAAAAATCTAACTATTGAGAAATTGATTGAGCTTTCTCTTAGCCCAAATCAAGGCCCAATTGTCAAGACTATATATTGATTTTTCCTCTATATTTTCAGAACACTCAATTCATTTGCAAAATTTCACATTCAAAGTTCTCATAACTCTCTCTACTCTCTCTCAAGAAATTCAAAAAACAATTTTCCCTCCAAGTCTCTCTCTCTCTCCCTCACGCAGCCTCTCTCCTCCGCAAGCGTCACCTTACACCACCACCTCCAGCGGCCAGCCACCGTGCGTTATCCCTCCGCCGCGCTAAACACCGGCGAACTCCTCCCTTCGTCTTTGCAAGGTCCGCGGGGGACCTCTTCTTCTCTAAACGAGTTCCGATCGGAACCTCCTTCTTTCAGCGACAATTTCTGGCGGTTGCTCTTCCTTTTTCGTTTCTTCAATTTTGGTAAGCAATTCTCTTCTTGATTCAATTGTTTTAGTGCTTAGCATATTTGATTTGAATTGAATTAATTTGAGAACTGAATTAAATTGTTGATATCGATTAGAATTGAACCTTGAGATCTTGAATCAATTGTTAATTGAATTGTTGATGTTGAATAAATCTGGAATTGGTTAATTGTGTGAGAATTTTAATGTTGAATTATGTCGGTTTATGTTGATTGAAGAGTTGTGATGAGAATAAAGCTCGATTTCATGAGTTAATGCAATTTTACATTATTTTGTTGATAAATTCAATATGTCGATGTTAAAAAATTTTGATTCGATAAATTTGCATTAACTTTTGAACGCCAATTTTTTTGTGGAATTGAGGCATTTGATATGATTTGATCGTTTGTAACTCGTTTACAATTTTAAGCGGTAATACTTGAACCGAAAAGTGTATTTTCGCGTTCGTTTATAATGGTTGAAATCAATTTCGAGTAACTTCGGTTCAAGTGTACCTTGTTGTCGGGAATTGTAAATAAGTTGTAAATCACATTTTAAATACCACTTGAGGTTCACTTGGGTTGCTTGCATGTTGTATGGATGGATTGTGTTGAATTTTACCGTTTCTGACATATTTTTTGGGTTGATTTCATAATATGTTGCAAGGTTGTCCGGTGTTGGTAAGTGGTGTGAAACGCACAATTTAATTATTGATGAATACTCATGGAAGCTTGTCTTGGTAATTGATGAGTATCAATACATTTTGGTTAATTTCATAAGTAATTTTTTGTGCGTTTTGTAAATAGAAACATGTTGTCCGAAATTTATGTTCATGCATATATGTCATTTCAATTTTCATTTAATACTTGCTTGCATATTATTGATCATTTCATAAGCATTTATAATGAGTTTTCTTGTTTTCGATGTGAATTCCGCTTAATTTCATGTATGTATATAATGTTGTTCGGCTTTCCTTTTAACATGTACATTGAGTTTTAATATTCACATGATGCATGCTTGCACTCCCTTGGTCGATTATTGGACATTGTTGTTGTGTTGGCTCGACTTCGATGTATTTTTCGGGTTAATTCTTAAAATGACGGAGGTGCTTCCCCCGTTTTGTAAAGTATGCTCGGAATACAT